GCATGTAGAGTATCTGAAAGCCTCCCCTGGAATTCACCGAGAGCAATTTTCCAGGCTCTGCCTAAACAAACAGCTCTGGTGACCCCTAGTACTTCCACAGGGCTCCTTCATTTTCAGACAGTTCTTATATCATCCGCTCCTAGCTGAAATCTGATCCGATATAACACTCACTCTTGGGTCCTATAGGGTTTCCATCCTTTAGGGACAAACAGAACAAGCTTAATCCTTTCTGCAAATACCAGACCTTCAAGTATTTGCAGACAGCTACATTGCAGGCTAAGATTTCCCTTTCAGGCAGATCTCCATTCTTTTTAGGGTGTGGTTCTAAGTCTCCTCTAAACCAAAGAGACCACAAGCGCGATGATGAGGGAACTTTTGGAACCCTGAATCATGTCTCAGGAGGAATGAAGGCTTGTATGGAACTCTCATCTGCTCCATTCTAGATTATATACATCTGTTAATGCAGACTCTTCTTGATTTTTTTTTTTTTTTTGGCATCCATACTAATTAATTGTATCAAAGTCTTTGTGCTGTTGATCTCTCTGTATATTTCTACCATACTGAAGCTAGATGTAGGAATTTGAATTATCCTTACTACTTGATGTCCTCTTGATAGCATCTAGTTTGTGGTATCAGCCTGGTCTATCTATGGATTCTTTCTTTGGGTTTCTAATTTGGTCAGTTAGGGTATGTACTATCTTTCCCAGCCCGCTGCCCGCCCCCCCCACCCAGTTTTTCCCCATCATTTGGGAAACATGCCTTCCTGTTACCTTCACCTCTCCACTCACATCTAAACTGGATACATTTTATCTTGTCTACTTGTCAGAAAGTATCTTTCACGGATACAGGTATTTGCACACTGTAGATATTGATGAATGTCTGCAGAATGAGGTGCGATCACACACAGCTGTGGAATGAGGGTTTTGATTGCTATGGATGAAGGTTTGAAGGAATGTGTGTCATTGAGAAACCTCCTCCCCGCTTGTGGTGGGCCCTTATGTAATCTTAGCTAGTTCTCTACCACATCTGGACGGAAGAGGGTGTGGTTTCTGACTCCCTTGGTAATTGATTCTCCTCGGACTTAACACACTTTTGAGGTCTTCAGCTATTGGGGTTGAGAAGGTGGTGGTGGGTCCAGGTTCTGCTGGCTTGTCCCTCGGGGCCTGTGTTTCTTTTTTTCTTTTTTATTTATTTGACAGAGAGACACAGCGAGAGAGGGAACACAAGCAGGGGGAGTGGGAGAGGGAGAAGCAGACTCCCCACGGAGCAGGGAACGCAATGCGGGGCTCGATCCCAGGACCCTGGGATCATAACCTGAGCTGAAGGCAGACACCCAACGACTGAGCCACCCAGGCGCCCTGGGGCCTGGGTTTCTGCATACCATGGCACCTCCTCCCCCTTGTCCTAGCCAGGCTTCCTGACATGCCTGATCCAGGGGAGGCCCTGGGCACGGAGGGAGGCTTCAGAAAGCCAGAAGAGAACATCAGCCAAGGCACGCCTGGTCTAGACCAGCTGGGCTGAAGCTCTGTCAGTGTGTGGCCTCTGGGGGGAGGGAGTGGGGGTCAGAAGGAGATGTGAGGTGCTGGCTGGTTCTAGTCCTGTTACCTCTTCTGGAAGTGGCGACCGTTTGGATTCTCTGGTGTGTGTTCTCTGTAGGAAATAGAGAAGAAGGGCTACCCCCCAGTGGCCTCCGGGGGCCCAGCCTTGCCTTGTTTCTTGGGGTCCTCGATTTCCTTCTTAGCCAGATTCTGTCTTTACTTAGGTTTTCTTCATTTCAAAATATTCTATTAGTCTTGCCGGTAGTTCCAAAGACCATCTCAGAAGGCATAAGGGTACCATTTCAATGTTAAGAAAATGATTTAAAATTTGGAAATGAGGCATAAAGGTGAGGGGCCTGTCCTTTCAGTGTTAGGCGGGAGGCATTGCTTACCAAGACCACTCAAGGACAGAGAGTGTTCTACCTGCTTGTGTTTGATTTTAGCATTTCAAAAACAACTAAAAGTTCTCATCACAAGGAAAAACTTTTTTGGTATCTGCATGAGATGATGTGTGTTAACTTACTGTGGTTAGTCTTTTTACAGTATAAATAAATCCTGCTGTAAACCTTAAACTTACAGAGTGCTGTATGTCTGTTATATTCTGATAAAACTGAAAGAAAAATGAGTTTTCAACAGCAAAAGAAAACCTTGAGATAGAATTCACATTATGTATAGTCCACTCTGTTAAAGGGAACAATTCAGTGGTTTCTTTCTTTTCTTTTCTTTTTTTTTTTTTTTAAAGATTTTATTTATTCATTTGAGACCGAGAAAGAGAAAGAGAGCATGAGCAGGGGAGAGGGAGAGGGAGAAGCAGGCTCCCAGCTGAGCCAGGAGCCAGACGTGGGGCTCGATCCCAGGACCCTGGGACCATGACCTGAGCCAAAGGCAGACATTTAACCATCTGAGCCACCCAGGCGCCCCAATTCAGTGGTTTCTAGTATTTGTGGAATTGTGCAGCTACCAGCATAGTCCATTCTAGAACCTTCTCCATATCCCGGGAGCAGTCACTTCGGTTCTCAAACACAGCAAACCTTTCCCAGAATGCCTGCCTTGGTGAACTCTTAATTCTTGTTTGAACCAGCTTTACCAACTCACTGGTTCCCTCATTAATGAGTTGAATAGTGCATGCATTTAAAAATTTTTACCATTTTATTTTACCTAAAGCCAGCTTTACTTTTATTTAGTAACACATCCTAGATGCTTACCTGCTTCGTTTGGTAAATATTCTCTTACCACATAGTTGTTAGGGCAGTGGAGTAATTACATTTATCAAATGGACATCTGCTAACCTACTTGTCCTCTGTTGGACTCTTAACCTTCTTTCCAGTTTCTGATATTCTGTATAATGTGATTCAAAGCATCTGTGCCACACGTCTTTGTGCACATCGCTCATCATTTAAAAAAAATTGCTAAGTGTGGAATTGTTATTTTTTAAGATTTTTTGAGTATAGTTGATGCACCATGTTACTTTAGTTTCAGGTGTACAACGTCGTGATTCACAGGTATAGCTGCCATCTGTCACTGCACAATGCTGTTTTAACACCATTACCTATATTCCCTATGCTGTGCCTTTTATTCCCATGACTTATTCTGTAACTGGAAGCCTGCATCTCCCACTCCCCTGCACCCGGTTTGCCCACCTCTCCCCATCCCCACCCCCACCCCAACCATCAGTTTGTTCTGTGTATTTATAGGTCTGAGTCTGCTTTTTGTTCATCGTTTTAGATTCCACATATAAGTGAAATCATGTCGTATTTGTTCTTCTGACTTCCTTCCCTTAACGTAATATCCTCTAGGTCTGTTCACGTTGTTGAAAATGGCAAAATCTCATCCTTTCTTATGGCAGAACAAAAGGTTTTTAAGCCAAGATTAGATGTTAACAGTTTTATGCTTTGTTTTGGGGTTTTTTTTTGTTTGTTTTTGTGCTTGTCTGTCACTGTCCTCAAGCATATTTCTGAGTTGTTTTCTAATCTCTGTGCATACCCTGCGGCTGAGCACCCAGCTGCATGAGTCGTGCAATTGTATTCAACAAATACCTGATAGATGTACGATGTGACAGATTTAATTCTAAATATGCACTAAGTAATTTTCTTTGAAAGAGTCAAAAAGCACGTTACAATCTTGCAACTTGGTGCTATAAACATCTTTAAAGTTATATTTTTAGTTAATACATTAATGGTTGAAAAAATGAGAAAATGCAGATGAACAAAAAAGTAAAATTGAGTCTTCCCAAACACCATCCCAGACACAGGAGGATCCATATCCTTATCACTGTGGGTCCGTATCCTTGCAGATCCTTCCCCATGCGAAAGCGTGTACATTTAAAAAATCCGTAAATAGCTCTATATTTTGATGATTGTCAAATGTAAGCTTTTGAGGTGTTGTGTCTAAGTATAGATTTTAAAAAGCCCTTTGATCTTAAAATTCTGGATAGCAAGTCATTTATTAATTTCCTTTGCCTTATTTTCTGACATGCAATTCATCAACGTAACCTACTCGTAAGGTTGATTTGTTTTAAAATTTTCATTCCTTCTCTGCCTCTGTCTATGCCTAATGTCCTCATTTGTACGAAAACTTTGTTAGTTCCTTTGTCTTAGCCTTTTCCCACGTGCTCATCACTGTTACCTGTGGGCATTGGAATCCCCTGGACACTTTCAAATTTCCTTTTTGGAAACTTGTAGCTTCATTGCTTTGTAATTATGTTGTGTTCCACATCCCTGATGCTTTATTAGTTCCCAACATATTTGATAAAAAGGGAGGTAATTAGTGTATTATGGCTTCTTTTGAATTGTTCTCCAAGATGGGGGGGGGGTTGCTACATGGGTAGAAATTTACATAATAATGCGAACAGATTTTTGTCGCATAAACTCAATGTAATCTCAAGAAAATGAAAGCATTTTATTTATGGAACCCTTCTGCATGTATTCATCTCTAAGAATTAAAAATGACCGCCGTGTTTTGCCCCTCAAAATTCAGAAGTAACGCGGCACCACGTTTGCTTTTATTAAGCCCTGCATTTCTGACTAAACTTAAATGTCTTTTCAATTCTGAGACCGTTCCCGCCCCTGTCTCAATATTGACTGAAATCAAAGCCAAACCAGAACATTAAATTTGAAGCGCTTTTCCCTCACTTACCCATGGGAGCTTTGTAATTACATGACCAAAAGGCAGGTGGGGGGAAGCAAGCACTGGATTCTGAAATGAGTGTTGACTAAAATATTTGGAACAACTTCATAATTTCCTTCTGTGAATCATGAACAAGAGTAATATTTTCTTGGCTGATATGAATCACATTCCTTTCCACCAGTGCTTGATTTCTCTGACCACCTACCTACCTCTGTAGTTTGCATGAGGCGGTCCATGCCTATTTTCGTTTTTTAACATAGGTGTTACTGCAGACTCTGTCAAATGACTGCTCATCGCGGTAAGAAAAAGTCCCTTGACCTTGTGTCCTTTTTTCAGCCTCGGCAACAGCATCATTTCTGCCACAAATCTTCCGGAAACTTGAGGCTGGGAGAAGAGACTTTTCCCTCGATGCTCACAGCCTGTACCCGGAAGACTTGACTGTCCTTCATGACCTTGAAATGATCAGTTTGTGACTGTTCACCAGACTACACTTGAAGCTGTTCAGAGTACCTGAGCCTTACTGATCTTCATAGATACCAGGGTCTAGCACCATGTCTGGGACGTAGCTGTTGCTCAATAAATACCGGTTGACCAGAATTTAAACTGAATGCTTTCTATTCACTGCCTGTGTTTCTTTACCACCTTCTTTCTTGCCCATCCCCTAAGCCACAAGCTGTGTATGACAATGACCTTCTAGTCCCTGATCTAATAGGTTTGTCTCAGCTACTTCCTGACTTCTTGTGAGAGGGAGACCGTTGAAAACTTCCTTTTTGAGACATTCCCACCTTTCCTATTTCAAGGCTCCTGGCTGTCTGCTTGCCTTTCTCCTGGGCCTGTGTCTGCTCTCCTGCAGATTCCTCTTCTTCTCCCTTAAGCACATCATCTCTCTTGAAAACTCACTCAGGATTGCCGCCATCTCTCCCTGGGCAGCCACCACCCTCAGCCTTCCTGGCCTTTCTACTAGGAGCTTCATAGAGATTTTTGAAAGGACGGAATGAATAGATAAACATGGAACTTTATATCTGCTCCATTTTCAAAATAAGCTATAAAATTACAAATACCAGAAAGGCCTGGCTCTTGGCCTTGCCCTTGACCTTCAGTTTGCAACCAAATGGCTTGTTTGCTGAACAGATACATGTTAAGGATGTTGACTTTTCATGTGACTGCCAAAACTTTGACTTAAGAATAAAACTGTAGCCTGGGATTAAACAGGAGCAGACTAGAGGCAGAGAGGAGTCCAGATCTTTTTACCCACCCACCCAATCCCCCTAAAAGGCCTCCAGGGAGCACAGTTTGAAAACCACTAGGTGGCTTCTCTCTGAAGTCTCCTGATTCTGCTCTTCTCAGACTCTGTGATGTTTAAATTAGTAACATCCTCATGAAGTTTAATGCTAATGGTGACTTCCCTGGGCTCTTGGTCCTCTGAGGAATCCAAGTGTTAGGTTCCCACACAAGTATAACACCACCCAGAAAACTGTCATTTCACCACCAAAGGTGAAGGAAAGTCCTTTATGTATAATCCAGCATTGTACAAACCTCGTTATCGTGATTGTCCTTGTTATCTTGAATGCAAGTACCAGCTAGTATATTAAGTAGGACACACACAAGGTCAAGGATTTTAATTTTGAGCTTTTGATGATACTTCTATATTGGACCCTTTAAGAGTTCTGACTTTATTAAACTCTTTTATAATCATGAGCAAATGAATCTATACAAATGCCCCAGGGATTTTTTTTTTGAATGTCACAGTTTCTATTTCATATCAACAATTCAGGTTTTTTGTTTTGTGTTGTTTTTTTTTAATTTTTATTTATTTTTTTGACAGAGAGAGACAGCGAGAGAGGGAACACAAGCAGGGGGAGTGGGAGAGGGAGAAGCAGGCTTCCCTGCTGAGCAAGGAGCCCGATGCGGGGCTCGATCCCAGGACCCTGAGATCATGACCTGAGCCGAAGGCAGACACTAAACGGCTGAGCCACCCAGGTGCCCCATCAACAATTCAGGTTTTAAACCATTTTTGCTTACAATCACCCATAATATTTGTGGGCCCTTATTTTTCCTGGTGGAAGTGTGAGCAGAACTCTAACTCCTTACTTGAACTGTTCGTTGCTGCTTTGGGACTTGAAGGTATCCTTGGTCTCCATTGGTGATACAGGTGAATTTCATGGGCCCATGTATGCCATCCCATGGAGCTGTCTGGGAAGAGTGACTTGAAGGCCTCACTACTTGTTTATATCACTTAATTGAAATCTGAAGTTTATTTACCTATGAATTCTTTCCCTGGACACTTTATAGACTTAATAACTTGGGCTCCATTTGACAAGTGGGGTGTTGTGGTTTTCTTGATGAGACACAGCTCTGATTAAGACTTTCACTTATTGAATCCTTTCTAGAAACTGCCTTGGTTTACATATATATATTTTAAGATTTTGGAGATAGCAAACAAGCACGAGCTGGGGGAGGAGCAGAGGGACAGGAACAGACTGCGCTGAGTGTGGAGCCCGATGCGGGGCTCGATCCCATGAGATCATGACCTGAGCCGAAACCAAAAGTCAGATGCTTAACCAACTGAGCCACCCAGGTGCCCTTATATATTAGTTTTCTAAAGCTGCTCTAACAAAGTACCACAAACTGGGTAGCTTAACCAAGTTTGTCTCAGTTTTGGAGGCTAGAAATATGAGATTAAGGTTTTCAGCGTGGTTGCTTTATTCTGAAGACGGAAAATGACCCTCCCCATGTCTGGTAGTTTGCTGGCAATCATTGGAATTCCTTGGCTTGTGGAAGCATCAGCCCAATTTCTGCCTACACCTTCACATGTATTCCTATGTGTTTGAATTTCCCCTTTCTATAAGGATACCAGTCTTACTGGATTAGGGCCCGCCCCATGCCAGTATGACCTCATCCTAACGAATTACGACAACCCTATTTCCAAATAATTTCACATTCTGAGATTCTGGAGATTAGAACTTCAACATATGAATTTGGGGGGTGGGTTGGGGAAGGGGACAATTCAACTCATAACAGGATGGCTAATGCCTGAAATGATCAGATGACATTTTTATTTGGCAATTCATAGGAGAGATGAGTGGAAATAATAAATTACACTGTGCTTTGGAGAGCTAGAAAGACAACTGTTAGAAGATCATAAATTCTGTCCTATGAAAGAACTGTGAGATTGTTCTTGACATACGAGGTGTAAAAGTAACTTATTTTTGAAGTCTCTGCTCTGGTTTTTTCTAAGCAGCTTTTTGTCAATATTGTCATGATGGTTTCTCAATGGCCTTTGACTAAGTGGGGGGTTGGGGGGAGAAGAGTTTAACCACAGGGGTAAAAACCCATCTAACTATTCCTTCTCTTTGCCTTTTATTATGTACATTTCCAAATACCTGCAAACATAGTGAGAATAGACCATATACCGTCTCACAGCTTCAGTAATTGTTGACTTTTACCAGTCTTGTTTCATCTTTTTTTCTTTTCTTGCTAGAGTCTGTTAGAGTAAGTTACAGACATTGTGTATTTCCATTTGTCTAAATTTTTAAAAAATAATGTTATATTTTGCGATATTAAAATTGAGAAGGGTAAAGCTATTCAGTGCTAAATATTACAAAATAAACCCTGGATTTTACATTATAATGAATTAAAGGAGGGAAAAAAGTGGAAGATAAAGGGGATGGAGTGGCAGAGGAGTAAGCAAGAGAGTACACAAGATGCCTACTTTTTTTTTTTTTTAAAGATTTTATTTATCTATCCGAGAGAGAGAGAGAGAGAGAGAGAGAGTACATGAGAGGGAGGAGGGTCAGAGGGAGAAGCAGACTCCCCGCCGAGCAGGGAGCCCGATGCAGGACTCGATCCTGGGATTCCAGGATCATGACCTGAGCCGAAGGCAGTAGCTTAACCAACTGAGCCACCCAGGTGCCCCAAGATGCCTACTCCTTTATGTGTTGTTCTCTTTAGACCCTGAGCTTTCCTATGAGCAGAAACTGTTTTGGCCGCCCCTTGGCCTTCATGTTTTATAGAGTATAGGTTTATGGTAGATGTTCTATAAAGCAGCTGGGCCTTTATACTATAGTTCCTTGAGGAATTAAGATGATTTCACTGCTGTATATTGACGGTATCAGAAGAGTCCATCCCGTTTCAGTTCTGGGTTGAAGAATATGGGAATAAGTAAAAAGGGAGGCTGTGTATCAGGGACCTGTTGCCATAGGTGTTGCTCTCATTATCCACCTTCTTCCAAGTGTTTGGCTTTTGAGCCATGAGGGGCCAAATCTCAGCTTTCCTCCTTGGCTCTGGAGGAATCCTTTATACCAGTGATTGCCCAGCTGTTCTTGAAATTCTTCTTCCCTCCGCCCCCTTGAGGCCCCAGAGTCAGGACTCCGTCCCCTCACTTCCCACACCACCACCTCCTTTTCACCATCAGCCACGGATGTGGGTGTCCCAAAGCTCTTCCCTACTCCTTGGAGTTCATCTGCCATTTTCCCTTTGGCTCTCAGCTATGCAGATGCCTCTCCAAATTTGGTCTGCAGGCCCCAGCTGCCTTTTGACCTCTAAGCTTGAAGTTCTGCTTGCTTGCCTGCCTGACACATCTATTTGGGTGTCCCAGCAGCATGGGGGTACTCCCTTTGTCTAAAACCAAACACACAGTCCTGTCACCTCCTCCAGCCTGTGTAGTTCCTGTGAGCAGTTGGCCCAGGCCTGTGAGTTTCCAGGTTCTAGTTCATTCTTACCTCTCGGCCCCCTTTGTTCATTTCCCACAATCTGCCAGTTCTCCCTTTATTGTTTTAGTTATCTTTTGCTTGCAAGTACAGAACGCTCCGTGCACACTGGCATAAACCGGAAAAGCGTGTGTGATATGATCTTATATATTCAGGTATATATAAAGAAAATGAATATTTGAAAGGGTCTTGGTTGGCTCACATATCTGAGAAGTCTAGAGGTGAGTGCCATGCCAACATGCAGATGGTTTCTTTCTTTCTCCTTAGTGTTGAGTGCTGTTTCACCTTGAGGCTCTACTCTTGATTGCAAGATGGCAGCACTTTGCCCAGTTTCTCTGACCAGTAACGAGGGGGCCCTTCTCTTACACCTCATATTCATTGGTGACATTAGAGAAGAGGAAGAGGTTAAAGGTGATTCTCCTGGGGAAGGGGAGGGATTTGGGGGTCCTGATCAGAAATGGGAATACTGGGGGTTTTGAGAGTTTCCTGGGAGCATGTGCACAAATTCTTAGAGGCAGATTCTGTGCTGCTTGAAGAATGTCATCCCTTTGGTAATATGTGATAAAGCACATTTACTTGATTTGTTTTCATACAACTTGAACATGTATCCCACGAGAAGACTGTTTTCATTGTTATAAATCTGAAACCAATAATTTTCTTTGAGCATGCAAATATAACATAAGCTCAAATTTTCATGACTTTCCCTACAAAGCTGAAAGTGGTTCACTTGCCTTAGAGATTTTCATTTCATTGTATCCTGATGTGACGCTACCTTTCATTAATCCCTTCCAGCTAAGCAAAATTTAATTAAAACCACCTCACATGATGGCAACCATTCATGTATTTAAAAAAAGGAACTCGAGGAAACTCAGCTAGCTACCAGTCTTC